CCTAAGCCACTTATAAAAATACTTGCTTGTTTTTGTTCTCCGCTGCCTCATCTAGTTGCCTTATTCTGTTATACGCTGGCAGAACAATGCTGGCAGAACAGGCTCAAATAAATAACTAGGAACAGGAGCAATCAGTCTTTTCCAATACGACATTGAAAGTGACCATGCCTTGTTCTGTTTATGTTTTATATGCTGGTCTTCTATCTCATCCACCCTTATAAGGTCTGATTTGACTCAAAAACACACAATACCAGGACTACAATAGGACTCAGCTTAATGAGCCTTCTCCAACTGCCTATCTTTTATATACGAAAGAACTACAATTCCTAGCACTGTTTATTCAACTCATTGGGAATTCTGATCACTGTAGTCCAATTCCTCTGGAAGGCATCACTTGAATCCAACAGCAAAAATATCACCTTTTATCTCAGAAAAGAGAGACACAAAACTCCAAGGATTAATTTTGGAAGAAGATACAAAAAGATAATTAATAAATAAATTAAATGTGAGGGAAGTGAGGTCGTAAGTCTATTGCAGTCACATGAAATCTCACTTAACAACCTCATGGCTTAGCAATGGAATTTCCAGTCCCAACTGAAGATTAAAGGGATAAATTCTCATTCAACTTCACATATTTTTTTTTATAAAGTCTTCTATTATCAAAGCAAAGCTTGCCATTTACAAAATACCAAGTACAAAGCAAAGATATACAAACAAAGTTAGCCTGGTATATTATTGTTTCAGGGAGTTTAATGGAATATTTTTCCTCAACCACCTTCCCATTGAAAATCCAATACAAAATACATGTGACAAGGGATTAGATGGTAGATCTCCTACCATCTAAAAGTGGCATTTCATGGTTCATTACCAAACAAAACACCCAACAAACCCAGGACCAAGAAGTGTGACCTCCATAGCAAATGTCCTTAAGCAAAACAGAATAACAGAGTTGGAAGGGACCTTGGAGGACTTCTAGTCCATCCCCCTGCTCAAGCAGGAGACCTACACCATTTCAGACAAGTTGCTGTCCAGTCTCTTCTTAAAAGCCTCCAGAGATGGAGCACCCACAACTTTTGTTCCACTGGTTAACTGTTCTAACTGTCAGGAAATTTCTCCTTAATTCTGGGTTGCTTCTCTCCTTGATTGGTTTCCATCTTGCCTTCTGGTGCTTTGGAAAATAGGTTGACCCCCCTTCTTTGTGGTAGTGTTTCAAATATTGGAACACTGCTATCATGTCACCCCTAGTCCTTCTTTTCACTAGACATATCTAATTTCTGCATATGTTTTAGCCTCAGCTCTCTAATCATCTTTGTTGCTCTTTTCTGCACTCTTTCCAAAGTCATGGTGCAACATGCAAATGAGAAAAAAGTGATAAAGATAGTAGTCACTAGGCAAGGCTATATGATTCTGTGTGACTGTTATTATCTTTGTATTATTGTAATACTATAAAGGCCACAAAAGCAATAGTCTTGTTAAGCCTACAATTAACCAGGTGAAGACAATCTTATAGATGATAAAATATTCTCACCCTTTAACTCAGGTTAGAGTTGTTGTTCTGTCTACCTTCTCTCTACTCCTTCTGTGGATTCCAGTGAACAGCTGTTTAAGCATTTGAAAATGAAGGTAATTCACTCTTACAAAGTTTTAGAAGGCTATAAAACCTCTAAATGCTTCCAGCTGGCAATTTCCAACTACAAGGAATATTTTTTTAAAATGAAAGTTGCTAAAGAATTGTGGGAATCAAATGAAGATTTCAAAGATCAAGAAATATCTCTGCTAGAATGGTCTTATTTGTAAAACAAACCTAGAGATCGCTCCAAATAATCTGCTGAAAAATTTAGCTGACAATGGAATAATTGTCCACATTGCAGTGTTGCTTATACAAGAATGGCTCAGTTTGGGACAGTTTGTCAATTCTCTAATCTCATGACAAAATACATTGTCTAAAGTATGTAAAAGGAAACCCTGGTAGACTTGAAGTGTTTTGGAACAAAATGCTTTGGAATGATGAAACAAAAATTGAGCTATTCAGCTGCAACAACACAAAAAATATTGGGAGCGAAAAGGGCAAAACATTTCAGGAAAAGCATACTTTGCCAACCATAAAATATAGAGATTACTCTATTATCCTTTGGCAGCCAGAAGCATAGGAAATATTGTGGGCATAGAAGAATGATTCAGCTAAACACCAGCATATTCTTTGCATCTAATGTCTCCCAGTCAAGGAAGAAATTGAGATTGAAAAAAGTTTGATATTTCAGCAAGACAACAACCTGAAACATATTTCCAAATAAACCATGGAAGTACTTATAGGAAAAGAAATACAAAGGTACTATAAGGATCTTCTCAGTCCTAAGGTTTGAATATTATTTAGAATTTGTAAGGAGATTTCAAGCATACAGTGTGTGTAAGAAATTCTAAGAATATTTCTGAGTCCTGACAGTTGTGCAAGGGAGAGTGGGAAAAGATACAAAGAGCAAGAATAGGAAGACTCTTAGTTGGCTACTTGAAATCTTTGAAAGCTGTTATTTCTGCCCAAGGAGCTATTGCAAAACACTGGGTGAAATATTATGCTTTTTAATTTTAACCCAACACTCATTTATTATGATTGTAATAAACATTTAATTGAGCAAAAAGATTAGGGTGCCACATGTAGCATTTTTATTTGACTCTCTAAACTAATGAATATAGATAGTAGCTATACATTAGGATTTGAAGAATTTAATGTTGTACCATACGGACGTTGTGTCAGTTTCTGTTCACTCAAGAATATAAACATATAATCTGAGCAGGGTGCCTACACTTTTGCATGTTCAAGACTACTCTGTCTCGTGATCATACAAAAAATAGACGTGTTTTAGTCATTAACATGGATGTAATATCCACATAGGAAGTCTCATCTAAGGTGAGGTGGCCCTGAGTGACATGAAATTATGAAAAACACTTCATACAAACTATTCTAATGCACACAGAATAATAACCAAGAAGCAAATAGACCCAAATGGTTCACAAAATGGAATTAAACTAAACATTTATTATGCAAAACAGAATATTCTATAATTATGTATATGCATAATTCCTTTAAAATATTGCTATAATAATTAAGATACCTACACTGCTAGCAGACAATCCATTTACAATAATCCATACATAATTAAACGCTGCAAGCAATCATTTAATTGGAGAAGTCAGACAAGGAACTCTTGTCAACTCTGTGTGAAGGTGATATGGAAGTCACAATTTAAAAAAACATAATCGCATTTAAAATTTCCTATGGTTACTATGATGATAATTTTACTGCAGAACTCTATCCATTAAATGTGGCAGGATTCCAGAGCACCTCCAGATTTTTTGATGGCTAAGGAACAATTTCCTGAATTAAAACTGAAAGGATGTTCTACTTTTACATTATAAATGGCATAAGAGTGCACAGAAATACAGCTTCCTGTGTTTCAACATGTTATTGTTCATTGT